TGGTAGAGTTTTGGAAATTGGTATGGAGATATACGAAATCAATCGCATACCCTTGGAGAAAAATTTTAGCTATTGTAGAAAGGGGTGTGACATCTCCCATACAAACCGAATTTTTCATACTGCTTATCTCTGGAAATTTTTTGGTATAGTTCTAGAGTTTTGTATGGAGATGTACGAAATTAATTGCATTCTCTTGGAGAAAAATTGGAACTATTGGAAAAGGGGCCATGGCATCTTCCATACAAACCGAATTTGTGTAAATTGGGTGTAAAGTTACAAAAAATTACAAAGACGTACAAGCATAAGCCTATTTGGTTGCCAAATACAGCGCATAGCTACGCGAAAAATCTGTACATCAGTGCCGATCAAACACGAGCTCACAAAGGCAAAAGAGATGTGTATGAGCGACGTGACTGCGCTATAACACATACATACACACATAAACGTATTTGAACTAAACAGCGATCATGATGCAATAATACAAGGTGTTATCAGTTGGCAACTTCTCGCTCTAATTCCGCCATATTGACTACCTTACGGGAAACAGTGTTACTTCTTTCACTATTTTTTGCCCATTAATATAGTTGAATGCTTTTTATTTTTTCTCAGTATACACACTTTGTTTTCTTAAAATGGTATTTTATCTTATTTTATTTCATTTCATAACGAATATACTATAAAAAAGCAAATTTTGTTAAGGAAAAAATGTGAAATTTTATATTTTCCCCCATATGGGGATTCATTTCTTCCCGTTTTTCTTCTCATTCTACTGAGCTAAGGTAGTGTCAAATCGAGCTGTCACAACTGATACCACCTTGCATTATTGCATCATGAACAGCGATCACTGATTGAACATGCTAAATACATACATATGTATGTGTACACATTTATAGCCGAAAGGAAAAGCATCGCTTCGAAGTCATGTGCAGTCACGATCCAGAAAATAAAGGTCGCGCCATTCGCGGACCGCTAACCCTCTCTTCGTCGATTTGACAGCATCCACCTAATCGCTGACGTCATAAAATACTTTTGTTTACATTCCCTGTTGCCAACTTCATGCTTTTCGCACCAAATTTAGTGGGTATTCAAAACGCGAAAATTTTTGAGTTTGGTGATTGGCGCGTTTTTGGTGCTTTTGTTTTAAGTTTGAAGACACCAAATTAGAAAATCTTAAAAAAATGGAAGCAAAATTCATAGCAATCGTAAGTGTGGTAAGCAACTTTACAAAAATTTTAACAAAATCATGGCACAGTGACAGTCATAAGCGACAACGAAATATGTGCAGCACCTTCAATCATGCCAGAAGAAATCGACCGTTGTGCAAGAACCATTGATTTTTATTAATTTGAATCGGCATACTTACAATAAAATTATGTATGCATATAAAGTCTATAAAATACACCAATAAAAATTTGGTGCTTTTTCAAATTCAAAATTTGGCAACACTGCCTTTTGTTCGATGCTTCCTCTTTTTCTTATCGAGTTTGTCTTGCTCTCTCATTCTGGTATTTATTGACGTCACGGCCAGTTGCTCTCAACTCGATTGGCGCAATCTTGTATTCTATCATTCTTGTTCTGGATGGGCGTCTCATTGTCTTAGACAAAAAAAGGTGAAAATACTTCTTAAAAAAGGGAACTAGAGGACTTGAAAAATTCTATAGAATCTAACACATATGCTCATATAATAGCGCTGCTCACTTGCAAATCACAACTAAGTGTGCCCTCTGCTGTTAATTTGTACGGATTACAGCGCAAAACAAGGGTTATGTATATATATACACACGTGCTAATGTTAACGTTAATATATATATAAAAAAAAAAAACACAAATATGTACATATGTACAGTTCATGGATAAATAATGTAGGCAATTACATATGTAGTATGTACAAGGAGCAATTAAAATTGCTGTTAGCACTTACATTTGTATACATATGAATATTTTTGTACATAAATAAATATTTGCCGTCTATCTGGCGAAATCAACTACAGTTGCGTTACTTTGGCCACCTTTTTGTATCATTTGTATGCCCTTTCACAAAAGAGGGAAGGTATTGGACCAGTTGCCCGCAACCGAAAATACATTGAAATGTCAATAAAATTAAGAGCTGATTTTTTGAGTGAACACCAAACTCAATTCCGAAATTTAAAGCTTAATTGCCTCAGCTAATTGGCATGTTTGAACATAGCCTAACGCATAAAAACTCATTAAAAAAATATTCTTGTATTTACTTGTTTATAACTCTTGAAATAGTCACTTTGCGTGAAAAAGTTATATAAGCAACANTAACGCATAAAAACTCATTAAAAAAATATTCTTGTATTTACTTGTTTATACCTCTTGAAATAGTCATTTTGCGTGAAAAAGNGAGCAATTAAAATTGCTGTTAGCACTTACATTTGTATACATATGAATATTTTTGTACATAAATAAATATTTGCCGTCTATCTGGCGAAATCAACTACAGTTGCGTTACTTTGGCCACCTTTTTGTATCATTTGTATGCCCTTTCACAAAAGAGGGAAGGTATTGGACCAGTTTCCCGCAACCGAACATACATTGAAATGTCAATAAAATTAAATNTGTATCATTTGTATGCCCTTTCACAAAAGAGGGAAGGTATTGGACCAGTTGCCCGCAACCGAAAATACATTGAAATGTCAATAAAATTAAGAGCTGATTTTTTGAGTGAACACCAAACTCAATTCCGAAATTTAAAGCTTAATTGCCTCAGCTAATTGGCATGTTTGAACATAGCCTAACGCATAAAAACTCATTAAAAAAATATTCTTGTATTTACTTGTTTATAACTCTTGAAATAGTCACTTTGCGTGAAAAAGTTATATAAGCAACATGACTCAGAATAAATGGCCACCATTGGTTTGGTGCATGCTTTCGACCTACACGCATGGACTTTTAAAAGAATTAGAGCAGTTTAAGTAAATTTACGAAGATGTTGCGGAGGCAGTGCAAGCAAACTTCGTAGACATTTGTGGTATCTTAACGAAGCTAACATTACTTTGATGAAGAAGTGATGTTAACACTAAGGGTCGGTTACTCAATGTCTGGTTAAAACTAATCTCTGGTTAAACATCCTTGTTATATACATGGAGTCGAATACATCGATAACGATGTTTAACCGGAGATTAGTATTAACCAGACTTTGAGTAACCGGCTCCAAGGGCCATTTGCACCATGTCTAGTTAACACTAACTGTTACATGCTGGGTGTCGAGAACGATGTTTAAGTGGGAGTTGGAATTAACCAAACATGGTGCAAACGGACCTAAAAGGAAAATGGTGCTGGGTGTGAAGAAGGAGGGCCACCCTTATCATCCAAATCTTGCTAATTCCATTCTTAGGCAAAATACGTTGAGAATTTACATACCAACTTTCCCAACGAAGTATTCAAATGACCTAAATATACCTTAGAAAAATGACTTCAGTTTTTTCCTTTGAGAGAAAAGGATTTTTTTAGATTTTCCTTGAAATTGCAAAGTTTCTTAAAAGACAAAATTCTTAAAACAACTGCATTGAATTCTCCTTTAAATGATGTAAAGCGCATATAATAATTCACTCGCTTGGAAATATTTATTAAAACTATTAAAAACAACTACATCAAAAATTATGGTTTTGGTTGCAATAAGTTTTATGTTAAGGTTAAAAGAGTGCGCCAAAAAAAAAAGTTCACTACTTCAGTCTACACTAAATCGCCTTGTAGCGTTTTTGCCTAAGCCAATTATTTTGAAACATAAAACCAAATACTTGGAACCATCTTTTTTTAGTCCGTTCGGCTTCAGGTCCCTGGGGGCCTGAGATTTTTCCACTAGAGATGTCCTTTTCTTTCTGCGTATCCTTTCTTATCCTCGAGCTATTCAAAAATGCGCGGGGTGCGAAGGAATTATGATGTAAAGCGCATATAATAATTCACTCGCTTGGAAATATTTATTAAAACTATTAAAAACAACTACATCAAAAATTATGGTTTTGGTTGCAATAAGTTTTATGTTAAGGTTAAAAGAGTGCGCCAAAAAAAAAAGTTCACTACTTCAGTCTACACTAAATCGCCTTGTAGCGTTTTTGCCTAAGCCAATTATTTTGAAACATAAAACCAAATACTTGGAACCATCTTTTTTTAGTCCGTTCGGCTTCAGGTCCCTGGGGGCCTGAGATTTTTCCACTAGAGATGTCCTTTTCTTTCTGCGTATCCTTTCTTATCCTCGAGCTATTCAAAAATGCGCGGGGTGCGAAGGAATTCAGATGTAAAGCGCATATAATAATTCACTCGCTTGGAAATATTTATTAAAACTATTAAAAACAACTACATCAAAAATTATGGTTTTGGTTGCAATAAGTTTTATGTTAAGGTTAAAAGAGTGCGCCAAAAAAAAAAGTTCACTACTTCAGTCTACACTAAATCGCCTTGTAGCGTTTTTGCCTAAGCCAATTATTTTGAAAAATAAAACCAAATACTTGGAACCATCTTTTTTTAGTNTCACTACTTCAGTCTACACTAAATCGCCTTGTAGCGTTTTTGCCTAAGCCAATTATTTTGAAACATAAAACCAAATACTTGGAACCATCTTTTTTTAGTCCGTTCGGCTTCAGGTCACTGGGGGCCTGAGATTTTTCCACTAGAGATGTCCTTTTCTTTCTGCGTATCCTTTCTTATCCTCGAGCTATTCAAAAATGCGCGGGGTGCGAAGAAATTCAGAAGTGTGCAATTGTCATATATCTCGGAGGGGATCTAATGTATATATATTGGGCCGTATGAATAAAAACTAAATAATTGCTTTTTGTTAAAATTTCAGACGTTTTACTCGATTTATTCAAATAAATTTAAATAAAAAGTCTGATATTTTGAGAAAAGGCAATGGCTTGGATTTTATTCATACGATCCAGTGTGGTGTGTGTATACATATCCGCGATCATTTACCAAGTTTTTTCTTTCGGTTTTTTTTTATAAATAAAAATGTATTAAAAAGCGGTTATAAGGAAATTTACAATAAATCTTATTTTAATACTAACCTGGTGAAATTAGGTACGTCAGAAGTCGGGGAAAAGGTCTGGTTTATTCTACAGACTTAGAAGACAACTTTCCACTTTCGTACCCGGTAAACTAATGAACTAAAAAGTATAAACTTTTTTGCTAGACCCATAGAATTAGTTTTTTAAGATTTTATCAAAATTAATTATAAACAATTTATTAAATTTAAAATTAAAAACGTGGTGCGCATACAAAAGCAATCCTATGGTATGTTGGTATAAAACAGAACTTCAGAAGCAGTAAGCAATACAGCGATTGGTGCTATTTTATTGACAATATATTTTGACAAAGTCGGGCGAAAAGTAAATTCATATATATAAGTAGTACCTAGATAATGGGAGCTGAGAAAGGGGCGGCTGGCACTATAAAGCCTAGGACGGACAAAACTGCAAGTCCACCACTGTCCATATGGGTATTAATAGTATCGTCTCCCTAGTATCGAGTACCGTTTTACCCAATATCGAAACAAAACTATCGATACCAGGATTGTATCAGTAGTATCGCAACATCCCTACATACAAGGTGGTGCTGCCAGAGCAGCTGATTTCAAAGCGAATTATGCTCACGGTCAAAAAGATGTTTTTTTTTTATATTTTTTTTTTTTGTTTTTGTACTGTCGCTGTGAATTTGCCTTGGAAATTAAGAATGACAAACTTTCCAGCTATTTTTCCAGCGCTCTTTCTACTTTTTAAATATGTAAGTACTTAAGTAGATATTTGCTTGTCTGTATGTTTGTAAACATGTAGATATATGTAAATGTACGTGCGGATTTAATTTCAGACAAAATCGGCTTTCTTGAATTTCGCAAATATTTTCGTTCTATCAAAAAGCGTGGATTTATCCTTCCTTTCATTTTAATATCAAATTCATATCCTTTGCAACTTCCTTACCCTGTTCGGGCAGGAGGTGACAGTTTGTCATGCGTCTGCATTGTAGTGAATAAACAAATACCTATTGAAATGCTTGCGGAAGGCGCCACTAACAAAATATAATGCCACCGGATTAGCGCAGCTGTTGGCAAAGGATAAGCAGAAGCCGACGATGCGCAAAACGTGCCAGAAGGAGTTGTAGTCATCCTGTGCGGTGGGCCTTAAATAGACGCAGAAAAATGAGAAATCAGATACAATTGGTTAGTGGGAATTATATGCGTACATATGTATATAATAAGGGCTATCACGGAATTCATCGTAGAAAATCTACGAATTCGAATGCCTGTTACGAATACGAAATATTGCTATCATTGAATCCCAGTGAACTCGAAAATATTTATCGTTGCCAGCTTCGAGTGCTGATTCGAAATCTACTAGTGCAAAGGAAACAATAGACATTTATGCATGCCATTTTGCTCACGCTGCCCCAGCAGTCGCAATGGCATTAGACTGCAAATTGAAAGATCCGAGTTCAAGTCCGAGTCGTCGGGCAGCAAATTTTTTAATTTAACTTTCGTTTCTTTTTTTAATATATATTTTTTTTTAGTTTATATTTTATTCTTTTAAAGAGCAAAATATTTTTTAAACTAACTTTTATGATATTAAAGTAATTAGGTTTTTTTTCTAATATGTTTTTGTTAAACTATTATTTCCTCGCTTCATTAAAAATATTCATTCATTAAATAGTGTCTAGCAGATGAATGTGTGTAAGTACAATGTACATATGTATGTATGTATGTATGTATGGCATTGGTATTTTACGTATGCGTTTACACAAATATATGGATTTATATCAAACTATAACAAATTTGGAGCGTAATAAATATTTATTATTAACAATAATGCAGCTTTTTCGAATATTTTTATGATTCAATAATTTTAAATTTTGTTCCGCCAGCAAAAACTAATCGTAGAGTATCTGTGCGAATCTTCATTACGAACGGATTCAATGAAGGCTCTCTACGAATTTCGAATTTAGGTTCGAAGCCATTCGGATTCTGTGATAGCACTTTCGTAGATTTCACAAAAATCTAAGCAACGATGGACTCTGTGATAGCCCTGAATAAATACATTTAGTTAGCTAAAAATAAAGTGACATTAAATATTTACATAAAATAAACAAATAACACCATGGGGCCAAAATACAGCAAAACTGCGTTTTTAATTTTTATCTCCGACGCCAGGATTTTTTAGAAGTAGGTACTTTGAAACTTCAAAGATGTGATTAATAAAAAAACCCATTTCAATCTTGAATAAAAATATGGGTACGAAATAAAATCGAAAATTCTGTAGAACTGACGAAATTAATGTTTTGGGGCACTTGATAATGGAATACCTTGGATTTTCCAATGATTATTTTTGGGAAAAATATGACTCAACTACGAATATGTACACCACCACATCCTCTAATTAGGTCTTTCAAATTTTATTAGTTTGGTATAAAAAATAATAATTAAACAGGCATTTTCAATTCCTGTTCTTTCTTGTGAACCAAAAAAAACGTGACTTTAGAGAGAAAAACTTTCGTTAGTATATGGGGAAATATTTTGAGATGGGGACACTTTGCGTACTGGCATATTGTTGCACTGCAATGTGCGACTTCTATACCTTCGTTAATATTACTTAGATATATATATGCGTAAATATCAGTAAATATGTAGTTATTCATAAGAAAACTATCGGTTTAAATTACAAATTTACCTAAAATCGAAAAAAATCAGGAAATTATTAGTGCAACTCGCATAAAGTCTACTTTTTATTAAGGTATAACTTCTTGAGTGGTCTGACTTAAAGCTCGGGGTTTTCAGAAGTTCATCTGAAGGTTCTGAGGAATAAAAATAAAAAGACAGGTAATAAACAAATATGTCCATTACCAAATGCGAGAAAAAAACTGCTCACAACTGTAACTGGATTTTGCGTTTTATATAAAAATCGTGACATTTCTTGTGATAGCGGTTGATAATATAAGTTAAGTGAATTATTAAAATATGGATGCCGGTCGAGTCGAAATGGTGATTCTTAGGAACAAAAGTGTCATGACGGTTTTTAGAGATAGTTACATGAGCTACACTTTTGTCCAACCTATTTTATAATAAATCTTACGGTTTAGCTGACCTTAGCTGACAATTTAGGTGACCTTTGACCTTGATTAATTTTTTTTACAGACCTGGGATTGATTAGGCCTTTTTACATTTGATTTACAGTTGTTGTAACATTCGTGCCAATTTTCAGGTTTATGCGAATTATTGCAACCTTGAAAATCTAACTTGCCCAGGCTAATAGGAAATAATTTTAAAGATATGGTTTAGAGTAGCAATTCAAAAATTCTAGTTACACGGGTTATAATGTACTTTAAGTAGGTTGATAAGTGATACATTTTGGGAATAAAATTGGGCTACTATACTTAGAAAAAAAACATACAAAAATTTAAATTGCAATAGCTCCACCTCAAAAGACTTACCCAAGGCGAATTTAGTTACTGGCGATTTTAGATTTTCGCCGCTGTCCTTCTGAATGTTGAAATTATGTGTTTGCGAATTCATATTACAACAAACACATCATTTTAACATTCAGAAGGACCGCGGCGAAAATATATATTCGCCAGTAATACCCCTTGTATAAATCCGCCTTGAATTTCCCCATATGGGGCAATTCACGTCAAATGTCCCAAGCGCGCTATGCGGTGCAAAACAAGCTGCTTTTAGGCTAGCTGAAAAGCAGACAGAAAGTGGTGGAAAAAATCTAAAAATAAGATTTCTATAGATTTTTGTACGGGCTAACAGATGGTACTATGCTAAAATTGGTGGGTTGCCAAATTATCCCATGGTGAAATTTCGAAACGAAAATCTTTTGTAATTTTTCTCACCTATGGTAATTTTTAATTTCGTATTTACATAGAAATCATTAATAAAAAAGGGACTTTTTTATTTTTCCAAGTTATAAAATGCTTTAGACCGCGCTAAACCGCTTACCGTGCGCGTCACTTTAATAAAGTTATAACTTTGGAGCTACTTGATGTTTGAACCTGAAACTTTTACAAAAACTTTCTTAGATATTCATCTACAATACTGTATTAAAACAAAAAAAAATATTAACTTTATAACACATCTTTCACATTAGAAAAAAAAACCCTCTCAATTCTCATAATAAAGTTTGAAAACCGTTAGTTTTGTTTGTAATCAGTATTAAGAAGTGTTGTTAAACTTAAATCCTTTGGAGTAGTTTGTATTTTATTGGGTGAAAATTTTAAATCGATCGATACACAAAGGTCTGAGATATGTCGGGTTTAAATGAAATTTTTGTAAAAATTTTCTATCACAGTATGATGTTCTAATTCGTGCAAGCGAACGTTGCCGACGTAACGCGACGGAGTGCTGTGACTGGTTTGTTTTATTATTAAGAAAAATTACAAATAAAATTTCGTTTCGAATTTTTAAAAGAAATTGGAAAATTTCGGAAAATGCATAGCACCATCGGATAGCTCATACAAAAATCTATAGCAATCATAACTTTTGAATTATTTTTCCCATTCTCTGTCCGCTTCCCAGGTAGTCGAAAAGTAGCTTGTTTTGCACTAAGGCATCTAGTACCGAGATTCGGGATCCTACGCCCTTTTTTGATTCCCGAATTCTCGGGACCCCGGGCTACAATTTAATTTATGACCAAATTAAAATAAAACGACATTCAGACTCAGAATTATAAAACGCAAGCCTACAAATAATCAAATAATATATTACAATTCTAACACTACTATTATTCTATGTCATAGTATATATAACATATATATGAGGCATTCTTTTTCATATCGGACATCAAATTTGGAACCACAATTGCGAATGACTTCACATTTTTCTTTTTTTCTTCGGATATATGACATGTAAAATTTTTGATTTTTTCGTGATTCTGACTAAATAATCATGTACTTCTTCAAATTGTTATATCTCGGGTTCTGTTTATAGAAGAGACTTCATTCTTAACTCTCATCAAATAAATCACTTCGTCATAAAAAATTTTTTTTAAATAGTTCTTGAAAAACTCCCATTTTTTTGGAACATGGAGAATTAAACAAGGATTACGATGGTGTAATTTTAAATCCCAAATTATTTGGTCTTTATTATGCAAATCAACTTAAAATAGTTCAACTGTTAATAGCTACGTTAACCTTAGGACAATCATAACCATCGTAAAGCTTCTTTCTTTATCTTTAAAACGACGTTAAGATGAAGTCTCTACGGTGAGTTGAGCCAGAGATATAACGATTTGAAGAAGAACCTTGACTGATCATATCGCCGAAGAAAAAAGGAAAAAAAAATCCTCGAATACGTGTATAGAGCCCATAAAAAAATTTGAAGCGAATCGGAGACACGAATGAATTTCAATTCCATAGTTTTTAGTTTATTCAATTTGTAATTAACTTTTTAAACTGATATAAAATAAAGACATTTCTGTGCTTAAAACACACATTTATTTTTATTAATAGTACTCGCACTAAAGCAGAACTGCAAAACTAGTTTGTTAGCATATTTCAATTAATGGTAATAATATCCCGAAATATTACGGGATCCCGGGATTACTAATTACATATCCCGAAATCCCGGGATTCACAAAATGGTCCGGGATTGGATGCTTGGGACATTTGACGGGAATTGACCCTTACGCATTGATTTTTCCGTGTGTTTTTAATTTTTTTTTTAAATTTTGTCACCTATGTAATATGCTTAAGCTTGTTACTGGAGAAGATTGTTTTTAATACAGCTCGATTCATTTGAATAGGTACACATATTTTCCTACTTCCAAACTTATATCTGGACTTGTGGGCATCAGAGTAGCTTCTTTTTTATCTTGCTTTGCAAATGTTTTTGACAGATGAAGCCGGCACAGCATCGCATGAAAAAAGCAATAAATGGAGCCAGAACACAAAAGCTAGACCGAAATAACATTAGTTCTTTACGAGGTCAGCATCTTATTATCGAGATAGTTGTTGATGACTCCACAAGGGCACTACGGATTCCCCTACACACTTTTGTTCAGAAAATGTCAAAAAAGGGCATATATTTTACTTCACAAAGTTAAGAATGATGACTGGAATTTTGTACAAATTGCATGCATGAAAGGACAACTAAAAAATGGTGGTTTTCTCTGGCGAACGAACGTTCTTTGTTTCTCCTCCATGATCAAGAAGAGAGTATGGCTGTCTGAACTGGTCGAGAACAGTTGAGATTTCGAGTTTCTAACATTACGAATAATTCATGCAAAAGAATTATTAAGGACAATGTTTTTTAACATTTTTCGCATATTTTTACATCTTGTTCTTGAATATGCTAGCAAAATTACGCAACGATTCGCAGTACAGGAGCTGCAAAAATGAGGATAACGAAGCAAAGTCGTATTTTTTCAGAGTTCGTCCTATTCACAGGACCTACACCTATTTGGAAATGGATGTTTTGCAAAGTATGCATGTGATGATTGGCAGTTGTTTTTTCCGGCGATTAAAGTGGTAAGTAGCGAGATGTCCTAGATTTTTCAACGCAACTCTAGTATTGTCATTCGGATAGTGGTTTTTTCCATACATTGGAATTAAGGATGTTGTATCCAATACTAAAAGTGTTGCATAGTAGCTTTAAAATGAATGGTATGCTTTTGTTGGTTCAATCTAGTCCTTTCCTTGTGTTAAAGCCACTCTTCCTATTCAAGTGAATCAAAATAATAAGCATAATTTTCCTGTAGTTTGATAAAATGTGGAATAAGATCTAAAAGAAACTTCCCTGGTGCCCACAAGTCCAAATATAACCTTCGATTTTGAGGAAAATATGTGTACCTAGTAAAGTCAATCGAGCTATATGTACTCGTTAAAACTTCCAATATATTTTTTTTTTAGATACATTTTGTTATTTATATCTTAAAAATACTAACCAATAGTAGAACCAGAGCATGAAGAAGTGATAGGGCATAAAGCATATTCCGAATATAACAACAAATGCCAACACCGTCCATGCCACTTTTCGTCGGGCGCGCACCTGCATCAAAAGTAAAACGGTATTAACTATAAAATATGTATATGTATATAAAATGTAATAAATACTATATTTGTTATTCATTTGATTTATCGCTATTTTACTAAATAATAAAAAAGCTAAAAAAAGTTTTTTAGTAGATATTTGATTATAAAATCCCCAGCTGGTTGATGGTCCATAGGTTAATATGTATACCAATAAATATTTTTTAGAGTTTTTAAAAGAAGATTAATAGATAGTTTCTACTCATATAGGATAAATCAAGGCGAATTCATGTAAGGAGGTGTTTCCCGAGCAGCTGGATTTTCGCCTCGGTGATTCTTAATGTCAAAACCTATACATAAAACTGGGTCCGACATCTGACTTTAAAAAGAAAATTTCCTTGATTTAGCGCACTAATTGGCCACTTTTGCCTACTCTTGAAAGCGCCAAACACTTAAAAACCGCAGTTCAAACGCAAAAATTCGTTTCTCCAATAATGATAAGGGTAAACTGAAGTAAGAAGAAGAAGAAACTGAAGTATTTCGTTGCCCTTTTATTTGCAGAAAACACACCCTTTCCACGTCAATTAGCCCAATCGCTTCGTAAGGGAAACCTGACCCTGTCTTCTTGTGCATTGACTTTTAATTTACACGAGTTAATTAATCATCGCTGTGCTAAGCTGATAACACTACTAAAATACTGAAACAAAAAGTGGGAGTTATTTAACTACTCACGCTTTCGGATTAGCATTGGATAGAAGAAAGGAAACATCATATCTTTTTACAACTCAATCTACCAGTGCCCGTAATGCATATCATCCTCAACTGATGATTAATGACGCCTGTTGACCGATTTTCCCACCTACATATATACTATGTAGGTAGAGCCACCTGGCTGAATAGCTGAAACGTTTTCTTCTTCAATAGTACTCCTAGTGGGCAATATGGGTGTGCCACTTGGGCAAAGTGTTTTGTTAAGCAGTGACGTTGTAATTTCCGACTCACCTGTCGCATCGCTCCCTGCATCTCGCCAGGCACACTTGCTGCGTACATCAAATGCCGCGCTATTAGTACGTAAAAAGCGCCGATTATGAACAAAGGTATGGCATAGTAGATCAGAAAGCGCATCATCACCATAGCTTTGGCATACCTCACACCCCACTCCTGCGGATAGGGGTAACACACGGCGAACGATTTGTTGCTATTGATTTCGATTCGCTACTTGCACGAAAAGGAAGAAAGAATGAAACGTGAATTACTTCTATTTTTTGGTTGGTTACATATTTATTAATGAGTGTGGGCATGTAAGTATACGTGATTCCGGAGCAACTCGTTCACCTTTACATTAGTGCCTATTAGCGCAGGTACAGCACAGAGTATAGCCAAAAGCCAAATGGACACGGCAATGGCGATGGTCATGCGAGTTGCACGTTTGCCACCACCTATAATAAAGATACAAAAATACTATATGATCTTATTTATTTTGGTATTTTAACTCGATGCATACAGCTTTTCGGATTCTAAGGGTGAGATAATGGAAACGCAATTTAAAGTGTTTCTACTCACCGTGCGCATGGAATTTCCTTAATGGGTCCACTATGGCAAAGTACCGATCACCTGAGAGTGCTGTAAGTGTGAAAACGGAAACGCCAATCGATACATCTTTAAAAAATTCAGATAACGTGCATAGGAAGCTGCCCCAAGGCCACGAATCTACGGTGTAGACTGTTGAGGTTAGTGGCACTGTGGTGAGGATGACCAGCAGGTCAGCAATCGCCAAAGACAGAATGTATCTGGAGGATGAAAGCAATTTAAGGATATTAAAAAAGGATGTATAAATACGACTATTGAGAGAGAACTTATTAATAAAGAAAAATTAGTTTATTTGGCAATAGCAGGAGCATCTGAGTTAGTCAATTGGGATTTTGGGAATATACTGTTTTTTTTTTATAGAAAATATAATTTGTATACAATATACGCATACTACATACCAGTGGCGTAACCAAGGGGTGGAGGATATATGTATGCTCCTTTGTCAATGAACTGATATTTTTTACCTTTGATTTAATAAGGCAATAATCTTTCATCCTTCTGATTTATAATATTTTTCAGAATAATGACAAAATACAAATAAATACTAGTGTTCGCCCAGCGCCTGAAATTCAACCACTAAAATTTAGGGGAGTTGAGTTGAGTGCATATAAAGCACATTTAACTGATGAAAGCATAAATCGTTTTTAAATTCGATGTTTACATAAAACTTATAGTAGTTTTATTTTAATTTTGAGCCCTTTTTCAGTTTTTATACCGCTAAATAGCGCGTAAAATACATCATTTCATTAATATTTCGTTTAAAATGCCTAATTTCCTGCAAAAAAATAAGAATTTACAAAAGGAATTTCACTACTAATTTCCCAATTGCGTACTTTTCTACTACCATTTTCGCACCAAGGGATTTCATTATTTCCCTTTCTCTGTCCTTGGTAAATACAACCTTTTGTAAGGGGCCTTTTATTATTGAATCATGGACTTTGACAATAAGCCATCGTCTGGACTTTGCCCCGATAGGAGTAGTTTTTTCCGTTTTGACGAAATAATTTGAATGCTACTTTTCTGCTCCGCTCAACTTAAAATCTGATCCGTTTTTTTGCATCAACAAATATACTTTTCAACTAGAAAGGAGGTGGGGGTTTTGATAGCAAACTAAAAGGTATATTTTATCTTTTTATCGNAATATAATTTGTATACAATATACGCATACTACATACCAGTGGCGTAACCAAGAGGTGGAGGATATATGTATGCTCCTTTGTCAATGAACTGATATTTTTTACCTTTGATTTAATAAGGCAATAATCTTTCATCCTTCTGATTTATAATATTTTTCAGAATAATGACAAAATACAAATAAATACTAGTGTTCGCCCAGCGCCTGAAATTCAACCACTAAAATTTAGGGGAGTTGAGTTGAGTGCATATAAAGCACATTTAACTGATGAAAGCATAAATCGTTTTTAAATTCGATGTTTACATAAAACTTATAGTAGTTTTATTTTAATTTTGAGCCCTTTTTCAGTTTTTATACCGCTAAATAGCGCGTAAAATACATCATTTCATTAATATTTCGTTTAAAATGCCTAATTTCCTGCAAAAAAATAAGAATTTACAAAAGGAATTTCACTACTAATTTCCCAATTGCGTACTTTTCTACTACCATTTTCGCACCAAGGGATTTCATTATTTCCCTTTCTCTGTCCTTGGTAAATACAACCTTTTGTAAGGGGCCTTTTATTATTGAATCATGGACTTTGACAATAAGCCATCGTCTGGACTTTGCCCCGATAGGAGTAGTTTTTTCCGTTTTGACGAAATAATTTGAATGCTACTTTTCTGCTCCGCTCAACTTAAAATCTGATCCGTTTTTTTGCATCAACAAATATACTTTTCAACTAGAAAGGAGGTGGGGGTTTTGATAGCAAACTAAAAGGTATATTTTATCTTTTTATCGACACGATTGTTACATTGGTAGGCTACAGCATCTTTGCAAATACATTTGAATTCCATCCAAAATGTTCGAGACATCAATCCTTTTCATAAAAAAATACGCGTTCGCAAATGACTGGTAAGAGAAAAACAACCTTGCCATCGTGAATAGGTCCTCACAATTGCCCGATTTGAACCCGATCGAAAAAGATTGCTCTGTCTAAAGTTTTGTAATTGCGTCGTTGTCCAATGATGTAACAATTGTCCCGTTAATGAAAGATGGAAATAACTTTTTTTTAATTTGACTTAGACATTTTAACTTTAATGATAATTGCTTCCTGGGTTAAACTGCCTTCACACGGGTCGATTTTCTGGTAGATTTTTGTCGTTCAACCAAAAGCGACCAGCGGAAATGACAACTCAGTCGTAAAATGTAAATGCTTTGGCTAGTCGATTTTTCAGTCGACAGAAATCGACCCTTGTGACGGCAGCTTGATGGTCTGATTATGCATACTTCGCAAAACTTCGCATAAATTGCAAACTGTCAGGTGAAAATCTGTTGAATGCATTTTGTATGTATTCCATTATTTACCCAGAAATCAAGAGAACTTGTAGAAAATGAGCGATCTATTGAGCTTAGATTTTGCCTCACGTTTTCTTAAGTGACATTTTAATTGCAGTGGAACCAATAGCATTATTTTTTACAAAGGTGCATGGAAAGCATATTAGGGGGATTCACGACTCTATCCATGTGTTCAAAAACCCATATGCAACAACCTTTATTTACGGTTGATTGAGGCACACTGTGAGTATTTACAGTTTTCCTTTTGTTTATTTAATTTTTTTTTTGTAAAAATATAATGCAATTTTTAAACTTTTCACAAACTAAAGCTTATAAAGAAAACTCCTTTTCCATTTCTTGGGCAGCATTTTATATGAATTTTTCGTTATTCTTGAGACAAAGGAGTGTGCCATTCTAATGACCTGCAGTGAATAGGTTAATAAAATTTTTAGAAAAATTTCGGATATGCTGTTTTAAAGCGCATTTAATTATATTATAGCAATCGAGCTGAGAGCAACCGGGAAAAGTAGATATGGTACAGAAGGAAGATGTAGTCCACCAACTATCAAAAATGCACATATGCACATAAAAATACATATTTACTTTTTGTCCAGTTTTAAGTATAACTTTTCAGCAAACACGTAGGTACAATATGAAATTTTAATTTACATCACTCGTGCGACAAATACTATTGTGACGTCAGCGAAAGGGTCCCTGCAGAAAAAAATTATCAATTGATAAAAAATAACCTACTTGTAGTTAGCTTTTTGCGGGATTTCTATAAAATATATAATTTGTAGTTAGCTACAAAAAGCTAACTTGAAACAAGTGGACAAGTAATGCAGCAGTAAAGCTCGAGATTGTTTTCTTTAAACGCGTTTCTATTTAAATATTCTGCACTTCGTAAATACTTTTTCGAATTGAGGACAAATTAAAGGGAGATCGAAATTTCATATTATCATTTTGAAGTTATGTCTGACGGAGTTCGAATATGGGACCACCTACAGGAGAATATGTAAACAAATATGAAATGTAATAAAATAAATAAAGTAAATAAAATAAATAAAAATAAAAAAATAAAAATAAAATATTTTATTTTTTCTATTGATATTTTATGTCCAAAAGTAGTTAGTTACAAGTTAGTTACATCAAATGCAGAGGTAGCCACCCCTGACTACATCTAATGCAGAGGTAACCACCCTTGACTATTTCGCGGCCATCGCCATAGAAATATAGTTAGCTTTCGTCAAAGAAAATATACAGATAATAATTGACTTTTAGCTCCTTCCTAATCAACATAAAGTTAGCTTATAGTTAGACACATTTCCTGTAGGGGTAGATGCTGTCAAATCGACAAATAGAGGGTTAGCGGTCCGCGAAGGCGCCACCTTTCTTACCGTGCATCGTGGTGCGCGGCCATATACGTATGTATATCAAATCTACAGAGAGCACGCGGGCGCTGTTTTGAGTATCACTGATGTAGATGAAGATAAGAGAATTTAATTTTCCTTAGGTAATTAATTTACATTTGAATTTGACCGAGTAACTTTAAAAATTCATAAACTACCCAATAAACATTGTGGCGAACTTTCGAAAATGGCCTTCGATATCCAATATGCATATCGAACTGAGAACGAACTCATAACCAACCTTGGTTTCCAATGTTCATAGTGTATTGGAAATACACTCGAGATGGGTTCGAAAAAAATGGAAACCATGGTAACAAGGGAGAAAGTGAAATCCAGCTCATTCTCGAAGGGAAATATAAGACAATCTCTCTCTCTCAATAAAATTTCAGTTCGATAATGGACTGGATTTTGGATTCATAACGAAGGAAAAGTACATTGGATAACGAAGGTTCCGTTTTGCTGGAGAATATTCTAGTTCTCGAATCGAATACTAACCTATGCCACATTCGTTATCGAAGGTGAGAGACGAAAAAAATATTCGTTTTCCAATCATTTTCGAATTGTTAATCAAGCCCAATGTTTATTTGGGTAAGATTTCTTTTGAGAATTCATTACGAGAAAAAATTACTATGGTTAACTGCCTAACATCTCAAGTGAGTAAATTTTCTACAGCTCTTGATTGTGTCACCCAACTTCAAACGAAACTCCTGGCGGAGTGTAGTAAAAGATTTGGTCTCATTGAATACAACACCTATGCAGCTTTAGGAACTATCCTCGATCATCGCTTCAAGAATCATAATTTTCAAGATGCGAACGCTTGCGGTCGGGCAATTTTTAAACTAAAAAGCCTTATTCAAGTAGACGCTAATACCAGCTCCGAAGAAAACGTTGTTAAAGAAGATTTTGACTTTTGGTACCAACATAAAAAGCTTGCGATTGGACAAAAACGAAAACAGTCTACAAAAGAAGACGAATTGTAGTTTTATTTATCAAACCCCGTCTGCTCTATAAAATCCAATCCGTTAGAGGAATTGGAGGATTTAAAATCAACCGATCCAATGTTATACAAATAGGCGCGCGCATGTATCTACACACAGTTGCGACTTCCATACCATGCGAGAGATTATTTTCAAAAGCTAGGATCACACTCATCAAGAAATCAACTTACTGGAAAGCATCTGGAAAAATTATTGTTTTTGGGCAGCGCGACAAAATTCGAGTTTTTCAATTGACGGCTTGTAGTACCTAATGAATTATTTAAACAATTTTGCAAATTAGTATATACTCTTAATTTTTATCAGAATGATCATGGTATATTTCCGAAAGAAGTTGATTTGCG